AATTTCCTTGTTTCCTTTGTTCCTTCCTTTCCTTTGCTTACTGTCAGTGTTTAGCTTTTGATGCCCAAAGTTGCAATCCCAGTGTCAAAGCGTCGAAGAAAGAAGTTCTCGCTTTACTTAAGTAAGGCTATTGTTTAGCGCTGTAGTATTTTTGTATTCAAACTTGTCATGGGGGAAGGAAAAGCATTCCAGGAGAAATTCTTAGATACGGGCGTTTTCGATGTTTGGGAAATTGAGATTTTGTCCTCTCTCGATGTGAAAGAGTTAAAGCATCATGTGGGGGGCAATATACTGAAACAAAAACTATGTTTCTATTAATGATCATTTTAATTGCTACTGTATTTGAGGAAGCATACAAAAGCATTGCTGGAAAACTGTCAAACAGAACAATTGCCACTCGTGGATAATTTTTGTCATAAGTCTGCAATTTCATCGGAATTCCTCGAACTTGACGTAAGGTTCTTGAATCGGGGCTATTTTTATAGCCTCTTTCAATAGCTTTAATATATAATTGATTTGCAGCAGCTTTAGCGTGCTATAAATTTATCTGAACCATTTTCAAGTCTTCATCACTTCTTCTAGCCATAATTAGTAAGCCTGGTTAAAAGAGCCATTTGTTGTTTGTGATAGTGACAGATAGTTTTTATTTAAACTAGAATGATCAACACTTAGCTTCAATTTATACTTTTCATTTACCTCTGCAATTAATACATTTTGGAGTAGATTTACACTCCCAATGTTTATGTCCTTGGCACATATTTGTGATTCTAGGCATTTTGTAGGAAAATGCCCATATTGTATTAGAGTCTTCCAATACAGTTTCTAAAGAACTTAAAATTCTTCATCCATCTGGTAATGTAGCAGTAGAGTAAGCAATAGAGTCAACAGGCTCTGTCTGAATTTCTTGACATAAAGCTCTTGTCCAGCCCGTACCCTGGGTTAATCTCTTTTAAGATAGTATTTTGAAACTAACTTGCTACAGACTAGCATTTTCTGTAAATAAATATTTTGTTACTCTTATGAAAAGTATTTTTTCTTGCCACAGAACATAACTCAGTTGAATGTTTTAATGAAAGTAAACGATTGTAGTATTTCCATAGTGCTTCATCATATCAATCCTGTACTATAAATCAGGGGTACTTCATTTGAAAATTTAGGACTTTTGGTATTTTTGTCTTCCCTTGACGAATGGGTTTAAAAAAGAGATTTCCTCCCAATTAATGTTGCTGAGTGGTATTTCTTTGTGATTTACTGGTATGCTGTTATGCAAAAAATTAATGACAAAGTTAAGAAATTAGCTTATCAGCGGAACAAAGAGGCAGAATAGAGTGAAAGACCAATCAGGACATCGACTAGGGTGAGGAATGGTAACACATGCACATATATGCAGTTAGATGGTAATGCGGGAATGTCGGACAGGTATAAAGATTGCTGGTGGTGTTGAGCTTAGCATTTCTGGGAACCTATTGCATTCAAGAAATGCTAAGCGTATATCAGTTTAAATGACGTCGAGCTGCTACCTCAGTGTGAAATGTTGTAGATGAAGTCCGTATAATTTTATCTGAGGTCGAATCATTGGAAAGATTGAGGAAGGTTTAGGTGCCACTTTGGTAGACAGTTGCACGGATTTTGGCGAGTAATACTACTTAAGGTAAACCCGTTGCTGGATAAGTTATTTATGGTAACCGATACTTTTTTGTCATTTTATTTAAAAAATAATGCGTTTTATTATGCATAAGTTCCGTGTTTTAAATATTATTTATGGGTTTTAAATATCAAAAATCAATTTAATTTTGCATTTTTATTTGAAATAAAAGTTTTATTGTTTATGATATTTAATGAAATTTAATGTTGTGGATGATGTAATCAATGACATCACCTTACTTTAAAAGTAATTAGTTTTAATATCTATAAATTTAATCTAATGTTTTAAACATTATTTATGGCTGTTAATATTAAAATACAATTTAATTTTGCATTTTTTAAAAAAATGATTTTATTATGTATGATTATTTAAATAATTTTAATTCTAGGTGTGATGTAACCAGCTCTCTGGTTATAGAATATTTGTGCATTAACAAGCTGTAATCAGCTCCCTGATTGGTTACTGAAAATTTGTGCATTACCGCGCCATTTTAAAATTTAATTCATATCTTCGAATTCCTTGAAAGATGAATGTTGTTATTGGTAAATACCAAGAATTATTGGTATCGGAATAAAAAATTGTCCTTTGTACTTCAGGGAGGGGCAGTTAAAGGATCTTCGAAATCTTAAAAACAATACCTATTGGAGTTCTTTTTTTTTTCAATTTTTTTGTTATTTTTAATTTTCCATTATCCATTAATTTGGCTCTAAATTGCTTTATCTATTTATCATTTTTTTTAATTTTTTTATTCCTGCCCTTGATATTACATTTTTCAAATTTTTTCATTGATATCTAAATTATGATTCCAATTTTTTTGTCGTACTTATCAATAAACGACAGGTTAAATGACTAAAAAAAATGTAAGTACATATTTTTCTTTTATTTTAAAATTGTATACTTCAATTTTCGTTAAAAAATTAATACATTATTTTCAAAAATTGCTGAGATAATTATTGTCACATATGTTTTAATTTTAATTATATTCTATGTAACGTATTTTAAAGTATCTGAATTTAGTAATATTTTAAATCTTTTAAATGTTGGTACGTTTTTAATTCAATATTCAATTTAAGTAATATTTTAATCTAATCAAACATTGGCACAATGTTTTTATAGCGGTGTTTTTATTCTTTTCCTTTGCTATATAAAAGTAATAATAACCTTACTTTAGTATTTTATACTCATAACAAATATATTTATTTACTCTTGGCTGCCATCTTAAAAAACGACATTTTCAACAAAAAAATTAATCCGTTACTTTTAAGGATATATATATATTTTTTTAAAGTTTCGAATACTTTGCATAAAAATAGCATTTTTCAAGATGGCTGACGATTGTAAAAACTGCGCCAACATAAATCGCCAAAAATGCATGCAACCGTCTACCAAAGTAGTACCAAGGTCGAAATGTGGCTGCAGAGTTCAGGATTGCTCACAGCATGAATTCACGATTTTGGAAAGCATTTCAAACTGCAGGAACAGCTGTGTGTCTGTTCAGCAGTTTCGTCCATGAGGAACTATGGCAGCAGACGACAGTTATATTGCCCTATGGGCAAGAAGGAACAGGTGGCATTCAACGAGAGAAATATCAAGACACATGGAACTGGTGATTGCCAGACCGATATAGCGTTATACCGTGTCCAGGAGGCTACACAATGGTGGTCTGCTTTCACAACATCTACGGTATATACCATTAATACCTACTCATCAGAGAAGATGTTTTCTGTGGTGCAGAGTACACCAAAATTGGACAGATAATCAATGGGGGCAAGTACTTCATACAGATAAGAGCAGATTTTTTTTTTTCAGTAGCAATTTTAGACGCATACACATCTGGAGAAAGCTAGAAACATGTAATAATCCCTCCAACATCATCAAAAGTTCCGATTTCGAAGTTGTGGAGTTTTCATTTAAGGAAGCATCATGCTTGGTAGCCGCACCGATCTTCACATCTTTCGAGGAGGTTCCGGCAGTAGGGTCCAATACTGTAACGAGATTCTCCTTTCTTATGTGCATCTTTTCAGAGGTTCTATGGGTCCTCAGTTCCTTTTCATGAGTGGCAACGCCCCACCTCATCGCACAGTTGCTGTTGGAGAGTGGAACTTATGGATTGGCAGGCTAGCTTTCTGAATCTAATCCCATTAAGCATGTATGGGACTCTAGGGATATGCATGGCAGCACGTAACTTATATCCAGTAAAGATTTCAGAGCTGCAATACACACTACAAGAGCGATGTGCAACAATGCTTCAACAACACTCGTACACCTCATGAACAGCCGATGTGAAACCTGCACAGAAGTCAAAGATCATATCCCCTACTAAAAGTTGAATGTTTCTTCCTGGGCAACTGTCACATGGGTGTTTCATCCTTCTGTCGTATTGTGCTCCATGCTATTTTTTCAGTAAAGTTCCTTTTTATTATTTTGATTTCATTTTTGGGAAATTTTGCTTCCATTACCCATGTTCTTACGTCTTGGGGATCTTATAGTGTTATTTGTGTTGATTTGGTAAGCTTTTGCATAATGTTGTATTAAAAAACCCGTCTCATCCTTAATTTTTTGCACACCAGTGTATGTAACATTCTGTAATTTATAAATTTATGGCATTTGATATGCCTAAAGAATTTTCAAGCAAGTAATTTTAAGGTTTCAATGCAAAAATTATGTTCTTCTAATCACGTTTTATTACTTTAGAATCATAATCAAATAATCTTAAAAAATTTCATTGAACTAGAATTTTTAATTGATGCAAATAATGTTACAGGTTGTCTATTTGCCAGCACTGAAATCTGCCACTGTTTTCTATAACATGAACTGTAAAAAAAGATGAATATTTTTAATGTATATCGATCTATACTTTTCTTGACAGTATGCACAGTAATACCTGTCAATCAGTTAACATCAGAAACCTTTTTCTAATTTGACCTTTCATTTTTACTTGTGCAGAGTTGTGAACATTTCCCTCTTTATTTTGTATATGACCTCTGAACATAACCTCAAATTTAAAAATAAAGTATCACAGTCACATTTTGTCATAGAGCATCTTAACTTTGTGCTTTATTTTTTAGAATGATTTTAAATACTTACTGAATAAAAATATAAAGGTTATACAAAAATAAGATATAAAGTTTTGCAAAATTAAATTCAAAAATGACAAAATGTGAATATGCAAAAGTTAAAATATTTTTGTATGTGAAAGTATAATTGTACCATCAATGCCTGCGTAAATAAAATATCTCTAAGACTCCTGTTGTCAGTGTATTTGTATATATATATATATATATGTATGTAAATTTTTTAATATCTGTTGTGAATGATGATACATCTGAATATTTTTCCCACAAATTTTCCTCAGCTTTGTCACCTATGACTGGGCAGACTTATAATCCAGCTCCAAGGAGTTCATCTGTGAAGCTTAGCACAATGCAGATCAGGTATATTAACAGTTGCTTATTTCCTTTGCTGTCTGTGCATATGGTGTTATGACACGTACCTGATTATGCCTTATTCTCTAAGATGCAAGTTTGGTCAGTTGGGACCTGGTAAAAGTCAGTTCAGCTCTCCTCATGGCTTTTGTCTTGGAATTGAGGAAGAAATAATAGTAGCTGATACAAATAATCATCGAATTCAAGTTTTTGAGAAAACTGGTGATTTTAAATATCAGTTTGGTGTTGCTGGAAAGGAAGAAGGCCAGTTATGGTATCCTAGAAAAGTAAGAAAAGTTTATTTCAGTTTGCTTTCAGCTTGTGAGTTAATTTTTTAAAATTCATTAAAAGTTACTAAATAAATCATGCTTTACTCTCAGCTTGTGAGTTTCAGCAATATATTGTGAGAGAGGCATGCTGAATTTTTAATTGATGCAAATAATGTTACAGGTTGGCTATTTGCCACTGTGTTCCCACAAAAGTTTATCTCCTCCTGCCAAATCAGAAATAAGTTTTTAAAAATATTTTTGCCATGACTAAAGCTTCCTTTTTTTAATTAAAGGAATCAAAAATTGTCCATTGTTGAAACATATTGTTGGGTTTTTTTCTTTTCTGACACCAGTTGTTACGACGTTATTTTCTTTCTTCACATTCGTACGGGGTTCTTTTGGATTTTGAGTGAATAATGACGACACTGCTGAAGTCTCGAAACGCACTTTATTGGCCAGTATTGTCAGGACAGCTCCAAAACACGTTTTACAGTCGTCGGTTAATTACTATAAACACGCTGACACGATCAGCGACGCAGCCTTCAGGTTATCAGGCTATCGCGATGGAGATAGCTTCCTGCAAAGTACCCGACTCTGCTGCTTTCCGGAGTACAGCTCCCGACTCTGCTCGGTCGTTTTCGGAACTCCACGTACTCTTGAGACTCTCCACGCTACAACTCGCGATGCACTCGACGACACTCAGAGCACGGCTCCTGACTCTTCGGTTCAGTCGTTCCCAGAGCTCAACACACTCTCTCGATGATGCACTAACCACGATACACTAACAGACTCCTTCGGTGCACTCGACGACCCACTCGGCACTCGCTGCCCGCTTGTCAACTCGATCGACTCCACAGGGATTAACTCGCTAGACGAGACACACTCACTCTCGATGAGAGACACACTAACTGACTGCGGATCAGCAGGTTTTATATAGCTTTCGGCTTGAGTTCAAGAACATTCTAGGCTAAACCAGTAAGAATTCGTTCCAGAAGGTTCTCCAACCGTCCGTGGTATATTGCCAATTTTGTCGCCAAATGTGGCAACCCTAAAACTGCTTTGCAAAGAAGCCATCCTACCGTGCCTGTACATTTCGTAACAATATTTTGAAGTATTGGTGTTCATTTCGTAAAGTATTAACACTACATGCAGATTAGAAGCCAAAAGAAATGGACATTAAGTTGTGCTAAAAAATGACATTGAATGGCATAAATAAGACATATTGTGGTGATTGTTAATTCATAGAATAAAATGCCAAATTAGACCATTGTTTCTTTAATATACAAGTTGAAATTACTGCAATTAATCGAATAGTTTTTATTTCACAAAATCTTAGGAGTGTTATCTTTCATTACATGATTTATTTATTTTTGGTTGTGTGTGATGTTCAAATTATGGTTCAACATACCCCATCACTACACGATTAACTGTCACAACAGCTTTTTGATATTTCTGTGCTGAAAACATATACCTTCACATCCTGTCTGCCAGTGCTGTACATTTTTCTTCACTCATATTTTAATTCGTGCATTGTTATTTCATCACAATCTGACTAATGCTGTAGAGAGCAAAGTTTTTCAATTATAAACCCTATTTTCTTTTTACCATCCTTGCTGCCCATTCATTATCCTATTGTTAATGCTTATCTGTTATGGAAGTATACCCCTTGAAAAAAGAGAGAGAAAATAGCAAAGAAATCTGCCTAGCATCTAAAACATCAGTATTTATTTTCACTTTAGAGGAAAGTAGAAAGAACGGAATACTTTTCTGTTAACAGGGCAAACATAACATTAGTGCAAAATCTAACTAAAGGTGGCAACTTTAACAATATGTAACGCTTCTGCTGTAACTGTGTTTGATGTATTCAGTGCCAAATCTGTACAAGTCTCTATGTCTTTTAAGGATAAAAAGTTGCTGTATGCACAGGAAGAACTGCATCATAAATAGCTGTGCAATGTTTAATGTGCACAATGCCAAGGCTGCTCTGTGCAATTAACATCCGAAAGTATCATAAGTAGCAGAAAATATCCTGTCTTTGAAGGTCAGGAAGTGCAAAAACGCATGATGTTTGTCTTAGCAGATACAGAATGCTATCTGTTGCTCAAGTGAAATGTTCCTTTCTAAACTGTGAATATATATCTGCTTATAGGTTAACATTTCTGCATTTTGTAGTGTAAATTTTAATTGGAAATGCATAGCCATCTATTGTCTGCAAAATGATAATAATGTATGATAATGTATTTTCAGAGGTATAATTAGTTTTTCAAAAAGTAATTTTAAAGTTTTGGTGTCTGAATAGACTACTAGGCTTACCTTGTTGTGTTATTCCAAATTAGAATTTGACAGCTTGAGTAAATTTACTGTACTTTAACTAGTACTTGTCAGACTCTCATACTGTGAATTTTATAGTTGTCAGACTCTCATACTGAGTATTTTATAGTCTCATACTGTGTATTTTATAGTTTGATTATATGGCCAGCACATATATTTTCCACCCCCAGCTGCATACTGTGTATCGTATGAATTCTGGTGTATATTAGCTATCATTTTTGATATTGCTTTGGATAAATTTAATAAACTGTAATGTATTGTAATCCTGTTTCATGCCATTATCTTTGGTCTCTGTATTCTGAATGATGTCAGTTCATATTGAAATTTTTAGATGTCATTTCATATTGAAATTTTGAGTGGGTTGTTCCTGAAACCCACTCAAAATGTATTAATTTGTTGCTTCTTTCCCCTTCCCCTTTTTAAAATTGAAGCAGTTTTCCAAAGTCTCATAGTTGTCAAACAAGTGATAAAACAAATGTCATTGCTGAAATCTGTGCACAAAGTTGAGGCATAATGCATTACTTTCCTAAATAATTCTTTTGCCTAAAATTGACAGTGGAAGAAAGACAGCTGTAAAAAGCAAGTTTTGAGGAAGCAAAACAGGGTTGTACGGTCCTTAGGTTTTTTTCGGAATTGATTTTTGGTCCTTAAAAGTCTTTAACTTCAGCCCAAATCGGCCAGTGGTCCTTAATTTTAATCATCTGAAATTTCTCTGTTTTTACAACTGCCATTTTGAGTGTGAATTAGCATGTTGGAGGAATATTTTTGGCAATTCACTGACAAATATTGTTATCTTTTGAATGGGTTCATGGGTTATAATTTGTTCTTATTTCTAATATAAATGCTGGGATACTAAAGATTCTGAGCAAGACGTGAAACATGCAATTCGAAATTATTTCGTTTTTCCTAATGAAGAGCTCTTAGACTGCTATCATACATCCGTTTGTTTCGGAAGAACAACTGTTTGGAACAATTCTTCTGCTTTGTCATAACAGTCAATCACCATACACTGGTGTGCAAAAATTAAGGACGAAGTTGAAAAATTAGCATATCAGCTGAACGAAGAGGCAGAGCGGACAGAAAGGCCAATCAGGAGATTAAGTAAGGTGATGTACGGTAGCACATGCGCAGATATGCAGGTAGACGTAATGGGGGAGTGTCTGAGTAGTATAAAGCATGTTGTCGGTGTAAGATCAGTATTTCTGGCAAAGAGATTGCACGCCGTATAGCAGTTAAAATCACACCGAGTTGCTGCTTCAGCAAGAAATGGGGAATAATCAATCTGTTAGACGACATCTGGATGCTTTTACCCGAGGTCGAATCATTGGGAAGTTGGAGGATGGCCGCAGTGTGACAAGTGTGGCTGCAGAGTTCAGAATTGCTCACAGCATCGTTTCACGACTTTGGAGACAATTTCAAACTACAGGAACAGCTATCCGGGGGTTTAGTAGTGGTCGTCCACGAGGAACCACACCCACAGATGACCGGTATATTACCTTACAGGCCAGAAGAAACAGGCGGCAGACAGCGGGAGAATCGCTAGACACACGACACAGGCGACTGGACGACCAATATCGCATTTTACCGTGGCCAGAAGACTGCACGGTGGTGGTCTGTTTGCACGACGCCCTGTATGGTGTGTACCTCTAACGCCTGCCCATCGGAGGAGGCGTTCTCTGTGGTGCCGGGAACCCCGGAATTGGAGAGACAATGAATGGGGACGAGTACTCTTTACAGATGAGAGCAGATTCAGTCTGAGTAGTGATTCTCATCGCATACTCATCTGGAGAGAGCGGGGAAGCCGCAATCATCCCTCAAACATCATTGAAAGAGACAGGTATGGAGGTGGCGGTGTTCTCGTTTGGGGAGGCATCATGCTGGGTAGTCGTACAGACCTTCACATCTTCGACGCAGGTTCAGTCAACGGGACCCGTTATTGTAACGAGATTCTTCTTCCATATGTGCGTCTTTTTAGAGGTGCTATGGGTCCGCAGTTCCTTTTCATGGACGACAATGCACCATGTCATCGCACAGTAGCTGCCGAACAACTCTTAGAGAGTGAGGATATTGAACATATGGATTGGCCGGCACTATCTCCGGATCTCAATCCCATCGAGCATGTATGGGATTTTCTAGGCAGACGCTTGGCAGCTCGTACCTTACCACCAGTAATGATTCTGGAGCTTCGATTGGTGCTGCAAGACGAATGGGCAGCAATGCCTCAACAACTCATTGACACCCTCAGACCGGATGTTTCTTGCTGGACACCCATCACAGGAATGTTTCGGCCTTCAGTCGCATTGCACTCCATGCTACTTCAATAAAGCTTCTTTTTATCCCTCTGATTTCTCTTTTAGTAAGTGTTTCTTACATTACTCATGTCCTTATGTATTGGGGATCTTACGGTATTAAATGTGTTGATTTGGAAAGCTTTTGTACAAAGTTATATTGAAAAAACTGTCTCGTCCTTAATTTTTGCACACCAGTGAAGATCGCTTTGGTGTCAACACAGGGAAAACTGGTTTTCCATTACAAACAAGCTGATGGAAATGTTTCGATGATATTTTTTTAAAACATTTTAATGTTGATAAATTTCATTAAAATAATGGTAGTATATTGAAATTATATTTAAAAAATAACATTAAAATATTTAAAATTTTTGCTTTCATATTATAAAGTTTCATTTTAGCCACTTATTATACAATATTCTGTATTTGAAAAATAAACGTGTAATGCTATAAAGCATAATTTATGAAACAGTTCTTAGTAAGAGCAAAATAGCTTTGTAATTAATTAAAAAATTTTTCATGGTAAGCGTTTTTCCCGTGTAATTGTCTCAGAATTATCGTAATATGCATCAGTTTTCTCTGTAAAATTAATTTTACTTTTCCTCTGATTTTTTTTTTTTCCCCAAAAATATTTCTGCCTTTTTGCTGTTGCAGAATTGGTAGGAGCAATTTTTCTTTAGGTTTAAGCCATTGCAGTTCGGAAAGTTTAGAAAGATTTGAAGACAAGATTTATAGACCCACAATTCTATAAGATTGAAGACAAATGTCTCTATGGTATTAACTTGTAATATATGTATTTTATATTACGTTTACAATTAATTTGTTGCTTTTTGGAGAACAACTGGAGAAGAAGAATGAAAACATATTTGAATGTTTTACTTCTGATACTAAGATCTTTTTCTTAACATGTTTATCTTCCCTTTGTTTTCTCTGCTTTTCAGTAGACACAAGCATGGAAAATGTGAGAAATGATTCTAATCGTATCACATGGACAGGCATCATAGAAAGGGATTTTTTTTCATTAATAAAAAAAATTGAAAACTGACGATTTGAAAGATTCATCTAATATGTCTTAATGCATTATATGGTTGGCACTAGGCATTTTCTCACATGATGCAATCTCTGTGGATTCTAAATTCTAAAAGCCACATCAGCTCTGTGACTGGCCCTTGCCGTATATATTTCAGATTTCTTCTGAATGTTCATATTACTAAAGAAATAATATTAGCAGCTTTTTCTATACATTTTAAGTGCATTTAGTTTTTTTAAGAGTAACAGAAATCTTTAATTAAATCCAAAAATTCTAAAATGAAAAGGGAAGCAGAATTCATGTTGCAGAATGAAACTGAATACGTAAAGAGAAAGAAAACTATTCTTCAAAGATATGTATAGCTATTATAATGTAATTTACCCAGTTTATTTATAATTTCAGCCTTTACTGTAATTTCCCCTTTCTGTTTTCTCGCCAGAATGCAAATCACCTAGACAGTTTTTAAACTGAGGTTTTGGGAAGACAGTGTTTCTGACCTCTGCTTGCTCGCTACATTAGTTACTGCGAGCTCTGATAATTTGTAATTATTTGTCTTTGCATTATCACTGCCAACATTTGAATTTTTTATGCTGACAGAGTTACTGAGTCGGCTTATATTAAAATTAAATTGCATATTATTTGACCACTAGTCCCCATTTTTAGTTTGAATTTCACTCTTCTTGTTTAATTACATCACCATCAGCTGTAATTTTTTTTTTTTTTTTGGTTAGCATAAGAACATGCCCTTATGTTCTAAGTTCTTTTTAAATAAGAGGCATATTTCAACCTTTGTCTGACTTTGTAGCAGAAATTAGTGAGAATATTGGTTTGTGCATTGAAACGAATTTCTAATTGTTAGAAAAGGTGCTTGAGAAGTAAATTGATATAAATTAGCCAAAATTAAAGTAAATATAAATTTGGAATATTAGATTGTGATTTTAATTAGGCTTTTTTAACAAATATTGCTAAAAAATAAAGAAAATTTAATAGTGGGCATATGAATCCCAAATGACTAAGGTTATCTAACTACCTAATTTAATTATTTATAGCTAATTGCATCCCTTTAAAAATTACCTCTGCATATCACCTCTGGTGCTTTAGTGGCTTATTATAACCTTGAAGTATATTAACTGGGTTACAACTCCTGGAACTCTACATGAAGCTGCGACACTAACTGCATCAGACAGAGCCTATCTAACTTTCGAAACTTCCCAACCGTGCTACATGGGGCCTTTCAGGTTTATTCTGATCAGCAGATCTCTCTCTAGGCAAGCAGCAGTGGTGACAACAGCCAGTTTTTATTATGAATCATGCTGATTAAGATTTTACTTCTCATTTTAAACTATGCTGCTTGACAAAATCTACCTGCTATTTATTAAACCTCTAGACTGAGCAAGTATGTGACAAAAATAAGACATAAAAAATCAACATAAAGCTAACTATTAGTAAAGTATAAATAAAATGTCACTTATCTTCTTTCAAGTGTGTGCAGCTATTATAAGTGTAAAATATTTAATGCTACTTGATAAATTTCATAAAGTTTATTTTATTCTAAAACTTATGTTAATTATGTTTAATAATAATGCAGCCTACTTGCGGATCTATTTTGCTTTAGGATGCTAATACAGAAGTGAAGTTCAGGCTTAAATAATATTTTTATTAAATTTATCAAGTTCCCATTTGTTCATAGGTTCTAAATTTTTTTATTAATGGTCCTTAAAGGTTCTTAAAAGTACTTAATTTTCGGGAACAGGAATGTGTACGAACCCTGCAAAATTACCAATTGTGAAAAGTTAAGAGTTATTCCTAATGTTAAATTAGTATATAATAGCTAAATATCTAAAATGAACTTTGTAAACATCAAATGAATGCAGTGGTGGAGACAGAGGAGAAACGAATTATTTTTGTGGATTTAAACTTAAAAAAAATTATTTACATGAATGAAATTTTAATTTATATAATGAAATAAGAAAAGGTATTGCATGGGTTTCTGAAACTGAAGCAAATGATGCAGTGATAATTTTTGTGTAAATTTCTTTCTGCAGGAGGAAAAATTTTGCTGTATCAATAAATCATATATTGGTTATTTGGTACTTATTAATCCTCTGAGCCACATAGATTATTTTAACCTGCTTGTGAAGAATTGCATTTGTTAACTAGATATGAATAGTAACTTATCTTACTCTCCTCTCAAGAGCATTCCATTCATTAGAATATTTTGATCATTAATTTAAAAAAATGTGAATTTTGAAAAAGGTATAATGTACTAAGTAATGAAATAGATGCAGTTTTATTTTTTCAGAGGCTTAGTTAGAAATTTTAGACTTTAAATATATGTGTTTCATGGGAATTTTAACTTTCCAATCCCTTGTCAGTGCCATCAGAGTCCAGTTCAGGCAACTACTGTGTGCAGTATTTGTGATGCCTGAACTGACATCAGACAGAAAAAAAAAATTAGTGTTTCTATTTCTGGAAGTCCAAATTGAGTTTGTTTTCAATTAGGATATTCATTTAAGACTTAATGCACTATTTTCATAATAGATGGCATTATTGGTCCTTACTTTTCCACTGATTTCAGTCGGAGGAGGTGTGGTTGTGTTCAGTTAACAAAGAAATGTGTTGGGAAATGTGAGTTTCGGTTGCTTTTCCATGAATTTTGCACTAAAAAGTTTTCTTTTCTTGCAATGTCTGAATCAGACATTGATTTGGAGTTATAGTCTAGGTTCTTTGGAATCGTATACCAATATTTCTACCAATGAATATACAGAAAGTGATGATGATGATAGTGATATTTCTTGTAGAAATTGGAAGCTGTTATGTTTGGGTAACCTTCCTTCTGCCTCTCCAAGATTTCTGTTTCAGAAAGAGAAAAGGATACAATGTGAGACACGAGTTTATTGTGAAGAGTGCGATATGGGCTTGTGTGCAGTACTGTGTTTTGCATTATATCACATACTGTAAAAGATTTGTAGAATATTCGAAATCATACTGTTGTATCGACTATAGTTTATATTATATTTAGCTTCAAAATTTTTTTAATTTGCTGTAATTGAATGATATTTGTCTGTAATCCATTACTTATTTACGTGTATGTCAAAATGGTAAATCTAGTAGTTGTTGCATTTAAAATTTAATCTTTTTACCAAATAACCATTTTCTAACTTTTATATTGATATAAAGAAAAAAAAATTAAACAGTAAAAAAAAAAATTTCAATTTTTGGAGCGTTTTCTGAAATAAGAAAAAGACAGTTAAGGGGTTAATAACTTTGTTAGCTTATTTGATGCAATTTTATTGGAGTAAGTTCTGCTTCTGATCAGTTAGAGCTTTGTTAGTTGAAACTGAAAATGTTCTGCATTGAGTTTTGTCAAGTGATCAAAGAAATCTAAATTGATATGAGAAGTAATATAATGTTGGTATTTAATATAAGTGAAAATGATTTCATTTTCACAGATTCAGTGAGAAAAGCATGATTTTTAAACTAAGCATTTATGGTTGTTTATCATTATTCATTCTTCAGTAATTATTATTTGTACGAAAGTTTGATGAAAATTGAATTAAAAAGTATACTAAGAGGTAGTTCCTCAAATATACTACTTTTAAAAAATCTAGAAGTTCTTTAAACGTACTTTAGATTATGTTAAATTTTATAGAACATAAATGTTTATATATATATGTTTGAATTTTTTCTACAATGATTAAAATGTTCAGTATTATATGATTTTAAAAATATCTTAGAAATGCATTCATTTTTGGAATGAAGGATTTCCTGTAGTCTTCATTGTAAAACAAGAGTTTTATTATATCAGTTGTCTTCAAGTTAAGTCAATTTACACTGTAATAATGCTGTCAATTGAAATCTTTCTTTATATTTCATAGTCACTTGCATTATTTTTTATTAATGTTTCAAAACATATTTTTATTTCAGGTTGCAGTAATACGCAGCTCAGGTAAGTTTGTAGTGTGTGATAGAGGAAGTGAGAGATCCAGAATGCAGATATTCACGAAAACTGGCCACTTCTTGAAGAAGATTGCCATTCGTTACATAGATATTGTAGCAGGCTTAGCTATTACAAGTGAAGGCACTATTGTAGCTGTGGATAGTGTTGCTCCAACTGTATTCATCATATCTGAAGTTGGAGATCTTTTGCACTGGTTTGACTGTAGTGAGTACATGAGAGAGCCATCAGATATAACTGTACGTGCTCAAGAATTTTACATATGTGACTTTAAGGGTCATTGCGTCATAGTCTTTTCAGAGAAAGGACATTTTTTGAGAAGAATTGGATGTGAAAATATCACTAATTTTCCTAATGGGATTGATATTAGTGATGCTGGTGATGTCCTTGTTGGGGACAGTCATGGAAATCGGTTTCATATTGTAGTATTTTCAAGGGAAGGTACATTGTTATCAGAGTTTGAGTGCCCTTATGTTAAGGTAAGCCGTTGTTGTGGTCTTAAAATAACATCGGAAGGTTATGTGGTTACATTAGCCAAAAATAATCATCATGTGTTAGTTTTAAATACCTTGTACGTTGTGTGAAATTTGAGGCCTCTTCCATAGACTACCTTTAGCTGTTGCTTAGGTAGCATTACTTATTAAGAGCATTTAGACTCAACATTTATTTGAAGGCCAGATTGTAGTTACTCGATCATAGAATATATGAAAGCCATATCTTAACTGTCAAGTATGCCAACTGCATTAAAATTTAGACTATACGGTTGCTATGTAATAGTTGATCTCATAAAATGTGTAGGTTAGCATTTTGTAGTTGATTCTGTCTAGGAATTACCCATAGCAGCTACATGTAATAAGTGGACTGAGCTGCCTTTTGTACCAGTCTACAACCTTAGATAAATATATACATCTTGTAGTTCTGTAGTGTAGCATTGTTTTACACTTCGTCGTAGCAGAGTGAGTTGAGAGAATTATATTTACACATATGTGAAGTAGCCTGTGATATATATACATATATACATATATAACACCTAAAATTTACAACACGATTGCTCACAACATTTGTTTCAAATTCACCTTTTAACGTTTTTCAGATTGTTACTTGAAGATTAAACAAAGTTATTTTGTAGGATGACAATCTTGGCATTGTGTCTTCTGTGTTGATGTATCTACTTAGTGTTCATAATTATAAACATTTGTACTTAAATCAGAAACTCTGCTTTGAAATTTTAATGTGCATAGTTATTGAAACATTTTATTTCTCCCTTTTTAGTTTTATCTTTTTGTAGTTTAAACTTTGATCTTCCAGTGTAAGAAAAAGAATCCTTTTTATTATAGGTTATATATTGGTGCATCTGTTTATCAAATACTTTGTAATTAACTTTGTATGACTGCTGAACCATAGATTTTGGTAGCAGGTAGATATCTTTTATTAATTTTAAGATTATATTTTTTGTATTATCATCCTAGTCTTTGTGGAATGTTTAATGCTGTGGCAAATGGCATTTTTTTTCATGTGTTTAGAAAAGTTGATTGCACTGTATTTAGTGCCAATTCTGTCTACTTTTGAGTTTTTTGTAAACTTTAGAAATGAAGTATTTTGAGAACTAACAGCAAAAATGATTTATTGTGTAAAAATGAATGGTTTAATTTTGATCCTACTCCTATGACACTGAAAAAGTGAAGTGCTGCTTCATTAGGCATTCCTATGTGAAAGAGAAATGGACTCAAACTGTATTCAGAACAAATTTCTGTGCACAATTTGTAAGGCAAGCATTGAATCATGTTTGTGTGCATATTGTTGTAACTAACTTTTGTTATAACACTGCTGGACTGTTCCAAGTTGCTGGACTGTTCCAGGTTTGAAAAACAAAATGCTTACATAATTGTTTATTATTATGTAAGCATTGAGTGTTTATTTTTTTTTGTGTTATTTTCAAAACCATTTTCATATACAATTGTATTTAATATTTACGTTACTTTTCTTTATTTAATCTTTTGATTTCAGGTGTGACCAGGTTTATGTCTCATCTAATTTTAAAGTTGTTTTATATGCTGTTAGTGTTTCTCTTTTATTTAGTGTGAAGGAAATAAACTTCACTCAATGTATTTATACAGATACGTGTTCTGAAAATGTTAGCAATAGGTTTGATCTTATACTTACATGGCATAGCAAAAAAAGAAAGAAGTTTTCACTCCTCTCGAGTTGTGCTTTCACTTTTTTTGTGCCCTTAAGAGACATTCCACTGTAATAACCTCTATAAAGCTTATAGCGCTTGCTAGTCTAGTCACATTGGCTGAATTATAAAAATAGAGCAAAGTAGTACATAGTTTGGGTTGCCACCATTTTTTCCATTTTTTAGTTTTTTGACGATATATAAGCTATGTGATGTTTTCAAGTATGAAAATATAATTTACTATGCAATTATCTATGCAAATAATCAATCTATGCATATTTGTAAATAGATAAAAACTGAATAAGAGTTTAAATTGTATTAAATCTTGTGTTTTCCCATATAATTTTTGTTAAAGAAATGGTTTTTAAGATATACATTATATATTTTTTTAATTTTTTTATTAAGTAAATTACGCATTAAATTATTTTTATTTCTGTTTTTATTTGTATGCTTCAAAGTTTGAAGCATTTTAGAGACTAATTACAAGGCAAATGTGATAGCTTTAAGCTTAGATTCACAAAATTGTGCTTCAGTTAAAAATTACTTTATATTAGGTAATATATCTCTTTTTATGTAATATTATTATACTATAATATTTAAAAGAAGTTAAAAATATTCTCATTGTATTTTGTGTTCTTCAAGCGCTTATTGCTTCAGGAATTATCAAGAAATCTATATTTAGCAAAAAATTATAAATACAATGAACTTGTATATTATTTTTATATTTATAGAAGGTTTAATGTTATTTCATATGAAAAATCTATTATTTATGAGTGTTATTTTATTAAATTATGTCTATATTTTAATTACTTCTCAGTGAGATCTAATCATATCAATAAATACATGTTTGTTCAATATTTTTAATTAATTATCATTTAGTCGATTTTCAGTTAGAAAATCTAATTTAATTATATGAATAAACAATATGCTCATTCAATAACATTGTATGATCATTAGATAGATGATCACACAATCTATTCAGAGTTCAAATTTTCTGATTTAAATTTATGTTTTGTTATATTAAGCATTTCTTATTTTAAGAATTCCTAGTCTTTTCAATGAATATAAGGTGGCCACCTTTTCTATGGACCATTGTGTTGTGTGCTTTTCCCTAGAAATAAGAGAGCAGATTAATGAGTCTCATGATCTTGTCTAAAATGCAGTTTTATGATTATATAACTTTGCTTAATTTTTATCACCTTTCTAGTTCCTACTGAGAAAAGTCTGCTTCTGAGATGTAGGTCTTTATGTAAAATCTACAAATTCCCTAAAATACTTGTCATGTATCAAAAAGTGTCCTATTTTGTTAAACAGGGAATATGAATTTCTGAAAAGAAAATATAAACTAAAATATTAAGATTTATCTTGTTAAAAGGTGGAATTCCCCTTCTTCTAAAGGCCTTTTTGTACTGAAATGTTTTAAAATAATTCTTTAAATGCAGTATTTGCTACCTCTTGTTAAAGTTAAGAACTATATTATAGCCAGTTTACATTATATCATGACCAGAGATATATCTATATATACATATAATTTTTATGCCTATTATATAGACTTTCTGACTCTAGAGTTGTCTTTCATTAGGATACCTGAATACTAGTCTGGAGGCTTGAATTGTGTACAATTTAAAGTTATTGTAACGTAATGTAGGGCACTAAATGCCATAATTTTTTTTGACTCTGTGATGCTCTAGTTAGCTAGAGTAGGGTAGTGTTCCAAGATGTAGTTTTAAATATAAACAGAGTTTGCTGGAAAAGTTATATAATATTTTCTCCCTTTGGGTAATAAATACAGGTTAAGATCAGAGATTTTGTGATCTTACAATGTTGTGCTTACAACTTGCAACACTATCTTATTTATTCTAGCTACTGTAGCTATACATTGTATTTTTTTTAATATTAATGTACAAATTGAAGTCTCTTATCTTTTTTACTTACTATGCAATATTTATTTACCATGACAAAATATGAGCAAGTATTCAATGTTATATTGCAAGTTTTTCACACAGGTGGCTTCCGTTTACATGCTTTATTTTTAGGCAATATATGATGAAAATCTTTATTTCAGATTTCTGCTATACTTGACTTGTGGTATTGAATGTGGTTTCTGTTTGGCCAAACTCAATACCACATGTTTATCATGCACTGTCCATTTATTGTCAGAGTTTACACTTTTTGAAGCTTATGTAATCTTGGTCCTTTTCCAAAGCACTGAAGTATTTGGTGCTGTTTTACTACCATATTGATGGAGCAACATTTGTTAATTGTGACTTCAAATAAATATATTATATATATATATATTATATTATCTTTATTGATCATGAGGAGTTAAATTTTTGAAAATGATTTTGTGCCTAGATTTTTTGCCATATAACCTATTGTACATTAGTACAAAATAATTGATCCCCAACGTTCTGATTGTCAAAAGTAGTTTGTTGTTGGTCATGCTGTTTGCTGTACCTTTGCATAATATTTAGTATTATGCATATGAACTGTGTTAAGTAAAAACCAAAGCCATGAACAATAGACACTCAGAAGTTGAAGGGATCTGGAATAAGGTATATTGCATTTACTTGTGCTATTTTTGGAAAAGCGTAATGGATGAAGTTTGTAATAATGTTCCATGTTTATTCAAAATAAACGCTGTTGCATTCTATTTCTTTGTTTAAATTGTGTACTGTGTTTTTTCTTTTTACTTAACACAAATTTACCTGTAACTGGAGTAAAACATATTTTTGATCGTAACACGTGCATGATGGATTTCAGTTGACCCAAGTGTATGTTGTGATGATAAAGTACGTTCTTGTGAGTTGTATTTTGATAAAATCCTCAGAAATATATTTTGAGTTTGAAAAACTGTAAAATGTGGTTTCTTAGAATAGTATCTTCAAAACCTATAACATGTAAAATTTGTATCTTGCGCAGTTACACATTTTTCTATGAATTGAAAAAAATATGTGCTATATGTTAAAGCAAAATCTATGTTTGACTATCATCAGGCTAGTAATTTTATTGAAGGAAAAGTGGAAATTCACAATGTGGCCACAGAAGAAACCGTAAAAGTTTCAGAGAGTGGGATTTATGCTAATGCTGTTTTCTCTTGTGTATAATAAGCCTCATATTTTTTCCAGGAAAAACCTGATGAAAATCAGGGGTTGCATTTACATATGAATCATTAAAAATAATTACGTACAAACATGTGATAACATAGCAGCACATGTTGAGTTATAGTTGGATGAACATGTCATAGGATTGTACAGATTTGGTTGCGATTACTGGTTATTTGAAGGAAAATGTCAGGCAAACAATTTAGCTGCAGTGCACATTTTAAACTGCAAGTTGTCTGATTCTCTGAGGGAAATAGGAACTGAATTGCAGCACATAATTGTGACATGCGTAAATTCAAAATGGGATGGTGGGAAAAGCAAAAGAATAGACTTCAAGGAACAAGCAGCAAGAGATAGGTATTTCATGGGAAAGCACCTTCAAAGTATCCTCAATTGAAAGATAAATGTTTTATCGTACATGATTAGGAAAAGAAGTTCTGATTATGCTGTAACTGTTGATATAATAATTTCTCTAAGCTCCTGGAAGAAGCAGGTGAAATGGAAATAAGCCATGATATTTAAGTAAGTGCTGGATGCTGTGAATGTTTCATACATTAGATATGGTTTGTCACTATATGATAGGACAGCAATTGCACAATGTCTTCCAGCAAACTTTGACTACAGAATTTTGAAATTTCAGAATCTGAGTATGCAGCATGAATTGATTTTGGCAGATTGGGAAAGTGCCAAACCTGAAAGATTTATAAAATTATTTTTTAAGTGTGGAGTATTCAGTGTTCTAGATGGTTCTGAGATTAACATGCTATGAGATACCAGTAAAAGCAGTAGTGATATAGGTAGTACAGGCAACCACTGTAGCCATATCATCAGTTAATAAGAGGTTTTGAATGCAGAAAATGTTCCTTTTGACTGATAATTAAAATTTTCTCTCAGGGTGCGGTAAGTATTATTTCATTTTAGCTGCCGGTAAAGTCGCTGAACACTGGTATTGGGTTGGCAACTAAGTAATTGTGGATTTTTTTTAGAAAATCAAAGACAATTTTTTCATGGAACTAAATAACTTTATTCTGTAATGTATTGCCCATTTTGATCAATGACCTTTTGCCATCTTTCAGGCAGCATCATAATCCCACGTTCATAAAACTTCTGGTTTTTATTAGCAAAAATCTGAATCTGGTACGATTTGACATCATCATCATTATTGAAATTTTTACCATTCAAGGAGTTTTGTAAAGATCGAAACAAAAAGTAATCAGATGGTGCAAGGACTATATGGTGGATGTGGCATAACATCCCAACCAAGCTCCAATATTTTTTGCCTAGAGTGGACCAAAGATGTGTGCGACCTTGCATTGTCATGATAGAATACAACACCTTTTCGATTTGTCGATTCGGGCCACTTTTCTTCAACTGCATTGTTTAATTTCGTTAGTTGTTCAATGTAGACATCAGAATTGATTCATTCGGTTGGGTGGTAAGAGATCAAAGTAGACAATTCCTTTGTAATTCCCAACAAACTGATAATAAAACCTTCTTTTGATGAATATCAGCTTTTGATGTTGTTTGAGTTGGTTCACCTGGCCT